TAAAAGCGATAGCATGCACGATCTTCGAAAATATTTGTTCGAAAGCGCTTTATGTCGCATTTTAAATGCAGTAAAAACGTTACATCAGATTATTGCCTTCAAAGACAGATATTTTTTATTTATTTAATAAGATATTAACTATAAAACAAATTAATTGTGCTGTTGCATGTTGCATGCATTATGAATATTTTAAATTACTTTTTATTTTTCATTTAATTAATGACAAACTTCCAATATTCAATGTGACCTTAAATATAAGTCAAATCGTCGCCTGGATAAAAGATTGTCATAAGCGTAATTTTGACGACTTTAAGTTCTAGATGCAGTTATATTTATTTTTAAACAAAATCTTTCGATTGGTGTTATCAGTTTTTGGATATCTCCTTTAGTTTCCGAGATATTGATAAACAATTTTTCGGTAATTTAGTACAAATTTAGTTAATAATGCAGTCATAGTAAACTAGTCAATATCTTTAAAGTGGCGTTATTCATTTTTGGATATCTTCATTAGTAGGGCTGCCATAATTGCTGGGCCTCAAACGGGGACACTCAGCCAAAAAAATCTCACTTCTTTCCAAAGGGATGCTCAGACTCTCCCTTTTTAACCAACTTCACAAAAAGGAAACGTTATCAATTCGACGGAAAATTTTCTTTTGTGTATCTTACCGCATAACTTTGGACCACGTTGACCGATTTCTATAATTTTTTTTTTAAAGGAAAGGTGTTACCTTACAGGTGGTCTCATGCTAATTTGGTTTAAACCAATCATTGGATCATGAAAAAATTAACGATAATCTTAAATTTGTATATGTGAATTGAAGTCGGTTTTTTTTTTTTCTTAAAAATTGCTTGTTTTAAATAATTTTTACATTTATAGTCTGGTTCAATTGCAGAGGAAAATTTAGTTGATGCCATGTTATAATACATACAAAAACGGAATTGCATAAACCATAATAAATAGATATCAAGTAAACATTTTCACTGAAGGAACGTACTATTTATATGCACAACGTATTTTATTATATATGTCATAAGAACATTTGTGCGTTTTAACGTATGTATATACAATACACCGAAAAAAAATACCCTTATTTTTTTATTTTAAAATCAAAAAATATTTAGAGGTCGCTCAAAGCGCTTACAGTTTTCTATGTATTTTATATGGGGAAAAAACTTTCGTAGAAATAGTATAGAATTCTTAACAATCAATATTTTTCGACCGGAAAACTTTCGTTCTCTGCAGCGGATTCCCGATAATAATACCCGATTGTTTATTTAACCATTTGATAGTAACTATAATTTATAGGTCCGCCAAAAATCCCAAAAAATGCAATGAGGGCACCAATAAAAAATCGTTAGTTTTAAAAACTGTTTAAATAAACAATCGGATACTATTATTGGAAGTCTTCTGAAGAGAACCAGAGTTTTTCGATCGAAAAATATTAAGGGTATTCATCAAACCTTATAAATGCATTGTAAAATGTATAAACTTATAATTGTGTAAACCTTATAATTGAACTGTCAAAATTTGTACGGAAACTCGTTTACACATTTCTGATAAATTTCTCCAGTGATTTCACTGAATAAACTGAAGCCAATGCAACTCTGTGGTAACTCTAGCTATGTTTTCTTTCAATTCAACAACAACGATATGACCCTGATAGAGATTTGTAATGCGATTCTGTAACTCTTAGCAATAAAAAAATTGTTAGGTTACTTAACAACTTTTGCCGTTTCCACTAACAATTGTATGATCCTCTTACTCTTACTTAACAGCGAAAAACAGCTGATTATTTCTTTTTTTTTTAAATGATTAAATGTGGCATCTCAGTCGAGAGAAATGTCAAATATGCGAAAAGCACAAAGAGGAATAAGAAAAAAAAAAACTTATTTCCTTCCCGCGGAAACGGAATTTTTGCGCATCAGCAAACGTATTGCAATTTCAAAAGGTAATATTTAATTATTTTAGTTTTTAATCGGAATTCACTGGAACATCTTTGATTTCAGGATGTCTAGCCAAACGACAAAGAGGAGCCGTGCATCGGGGGAGCAGTCAAGCGCGATGCTTGACTTTCTTGGTGAAAACCCGAATGTTGCGAGCGGCAAATTCCAAAAGCTCCATGGCAAGTTGGAGAACACCAAGAAGTGGGCAGAGATAGCCGAGAAGTTAAACTCCATTGGAGGGGCAGTTAAATCTGTCGAGCAATGGCAAAATGTAAGTATAAGTGATGAAGTAGGGGCATTTTCGGAAATGCATTACTGCCAAACATCGCACCTCTTATGCCAATAATATTTTTGCTGAAACCAGACATTATATATTTAAATATAAAAAGAGGTGCTTTGCAGTAAGGCATTTCCGAAAACGGCCTACATCAAAGAATAGTAAAGTGTGAAAGTGTGTTTCTATTATTTTACAAAGGTCTGGCGCAACTTAAAAAGTCGAACATCAACGCGAGTTCGTTATCGCAAAAGGGAGCAAGCGTTGACGGGGAATTTACCGCTTCAACAGCCTCCCTTGAGCGAACTAGAAAAGCGGGTAATATCTCTAGTGGGAAGCAGCTATATGGAGGGGCAACCGGATGTGCAGGAGAATATTCCCATGGAAGAGGTAAGTTGAATTATATCGTATTAAATAAATGCTATTTTTAGAAACTGCAAGTGGCCTTGGGGGCGGCGGATGAAAACTTCCGCCTAGTCGTGGAGGAAGATGTAGACACCATCCTACTACCTCCATTAACGGTGTCAGAAGGCGATTCGGAGCTTCGGTGCGAAACTCCGAAAACTCCGACTCAGACACCGCGCAGGACCGCCAAGCGAAAACGGATGGAGGAATTGCCAACAAAGACCGTTTTTTTTAAATTGCGGAGGCACACGCCGAATCGGAAAGGGTATTTTTTTTAAATATTGTATTTTTATTGTATTATTAATAAAACCCTTATTTTCTTACTTGCTTGCTGAAAGTGCTGCTACCACAGAGCAAATGGCTACCGCCACTGCAACAATGGCAGAGGCCTTCACGGTGTTGGCTGAGGGGGTGAAAACTTGTGCCAATGCTTTCGCTGAGTTTACTCGTTCACTTTGCCCTCCCCAATAGATGTAAGTATTTTTTTGTGCATATTTATGAATATATTTTTATTAATAGCACAGGCCTGCGAAATTTAAATTTTTTCCCCCGCTCCAATAATTATGTTTTTTTTTAATATCTGGGTATGTTAAATTAAAATGCATCTTTGGTTATTTCTAGCACGTCGAGATTTTTTTATTGGTGACATGCATATTTTAGAATTTTTAGCAATTTACATGAAAAGCCAAAAACTCGTTAATTTAAAATTGAAGGTTTACTTAAAAACCGACAGTATTAGTTAAAAATAACCATAAATAGACTAAGTAAATCATCCAAAGTTATTTATTTTCGAAGTTAACGCTTGTATCAATTTTCTTAGACTTAACTTCGAAATTACATAAGTGTTTTTGATTTACTTAGTCTATTTATGGGTATTTTTAATTAAAACTGTCGGTTTTTAAGTAAACATTCAATTTTAAATTAATGTTAATTAATAAATTTTTGGCTTTTAATACAAATTGCTAAAAATTCTAAAATATGCGTGTCATCAATAAAAAAATCTCGACGTGCTAGAGAGAACCAAAGATGTATTTTAATTTAACATACCCAGATATTAATAAAATAACATAATTATTGGAGCGGGGGAAAAAATTTAAATTTCGCAGGCCTGTGTAATAGGTTAAGGTTATAATTAACTTGTTGTTGTAGTGCCTTTTCAATTTCTTGTTTTTTTTTAATGAATTCCGAATTGTTTACTAGTTATAAGTGTTGTTCCTTGAATATACGGGAATTTTTCGTTTAATAATCGCAATGTTTTTCATGCTATACATTTTTGTTATTTTTTTTTAATTATAGCTTATGTTTAAGTATTTTCAGAAACTTTTTATATGGGAAAATGCATAGGACAGCGAAAATTGTTATACAATGAAATTTTCACATTATTGTAATAAAATTAAATGGGCTATAAAAGAACATACAAGAATTTTTTTTAGAAGTTCTTATTAAAAAGGTTGCAGTTTTGATAATGAGTATGAAACTTGGATTTGTATAGTATTTGTTAAAATAAAAACCATACTTAATAACAAAAATTTATAGCATGAAAAATATTTCGAATATTTAAAAAAATCGCCGTATTAATTATTTATTAATGAATTATTTAATTTTGATTTATAAAAAATTAGCATTAGTAACCCATATAGTTTTTGCAATAAATAAAATGAAAACATAAAATTTACATATTTATTATTTATTTCATTAAAAACGGTTTCGAGCTCAATAAAAATTGTTGAACAAAAACAAACTTAAGGACGAGCACACCTAAAAGTTAAACATTCTAAAAATAGAATTATTAACAAAAACCAACAAAAAAAACAACCACATGATCAAGTGTAAATCGTAGCGGAATAGCTGCGCTTGATTGTGTTCGCTTAGCTAACGAAAAAGTGGGGAAAAAGCAACGATAATTTGCAAAGCTAACTTAGCACAGTACGTAGGCAACTGGCTGAGTCTGTGGGATCGTCGGTTCGAATCCTACTGAAAGAAGTCTGATGAGGAAATGTGGTGATTTCCGAAATAGCTATCACTTCTACCATTTTTTCAAAATTATTGTTGCTTTTCCACAATAAGTTTTTCATTAAAAACGGCCTCGAGCTCAATAAAAATTGTTGAAAATTATTATTTATAAATTAACATATAATTATTTATCAAAGAGGAATTAATAAAAACAGTTAATACTGGAGCTAAATAGTTTACTTTAATTTGAATAGTTTCTTTATCGGCCACAGAAATTCTCTAGTGAAACTGAAATACATACAATCAGTGTGAAATGTTAGTGTACACCTTGTTCTAATATAAAATTCACAATTATTTTCATGGAAATTTTTTCCATTAATTATTTAATAACCGTTGATTTTTAATACTTATTTTGCAGGGGGTGTTGTGCATTTTCTTCCATATAAAAATTTATTTTGATCATGATTGATAGTTGAATACAATTTTGTTGTGACTCAAAAGAACCATGTTATTACGTGTGTCAAGTTAGCACTAAATTTTCCGAAATAGTATAAGTTAACTTCGGCATTACTTTCGCTTTTTTTGTTGTTTTTTCTTTCCCCAACAAATTTACAGGAAAGAATTACAATTAATGCCGTATTTAACTTTTTAAATTTCGAAAAGTGTAGTAATAGTTGTTAAAATATCGCATTCCTATTATTTCGTGGACCACTGTAAGTAATATCGGGTAGACGATATGTCTTTACTTATTTGGTACTTATTTAATAAGAGTCAGGGTGCCGGTAATGTTGTGGTATGATACTTCTTTGTTATCAAACTGGTTCTTGAATTGACTTAATGCGCATTTGGAAGCCGTGCACTTCACTGATAATTACGATCAATACCCCGGAATGAGCTACTGTGACCCTTGCACGGCGCCCATCAGCCGTTCGTCGTCATTGGAACGCTTCAAAACTTCTTGGAATCGATGTAGTAAAGCAGTAACCGCCAAGCGCCCAGTGAAGACATTCGAATTCAATGACTCATTTACCCCCGCAGTTGTTACCAATAAACTTTTGCGATTGTTATTGTATATATATATATGTCATAAAATAATTTTCTTATAGTTGAAATGTAGCTAAATACAATAAAATACCTTTTGTATGAGATCCATACAATCGAGTATGCCATCGTTTAATGGCGTTAGCAATGAATCCGACAGAGACAACATTATATAGGGAACGGCATCAGTTTGCACGGGTATGCAGACCCCATTCCTCAGCACAAAGACAGATTAAATAAATCTGCAATAATTTTTTTTAGAAATTGAATTCACTGATATTTTATGGCTTACATCACCTTTGTTGTATGTGCTAGAAAATGGCTGGGAAAATTTGTATTAGCGATGTTAAAAATGCTTGACTAGGCACATAAAACTCCTCTTTGGCGTGGTTGTTTTTCGTTGTGATCTTTGTGCTTTCAATGCCGATATTTAGCCAAATATTATATGCAATCTACGTACAAGAAAGTAATAAGAGTTTTAAAAAGGTACTAAACTTCCCGCTAAACTCAACTCACCCTGCAAATTCCTCATCTTTGTTTCCGCTGTTTCCTCGTTAGTAAGTGACGCCAATTTGTCTGCATTGTCTTACATAATTTCTTGCAGCGATTCTTCACAGTTTTTACTCAAGGCAGCACCAACTGAAGACACATATCAGCGGCTCACTGAAATAAGGGTATATGTTTACACATCCCTTTGAAAATAATACCAAACAGAACAGGCAATTTTACCCATGGTGTTCATTTGCATTCCAATATTTCTTAAGCAGAGCAGCGAGTATTATGCCAACAGCATTGATGTAGTTTTGTATCTCTTTTTGTGGTGTCAATGAATAACCCTTCACAACAGCACCCACCACATTACCTGCTACTATTGAGGGCGCGATTGGCAAACTAAGTTGCAGGTGCATTGGGGAATTCATTGTAGAAACAGTCGGTGCTGAAAAAGCGCGTGCACTAATGTCCTCCAAGATTCTATAACACAAGTTTGTTTAAATGTTTTAAATTGAAAGCAAACAACTTTTGTATGACGAGTACGCACTTACATACATATATGCCACTGTATTGACGGTCTCCGTTTCCCAAATCATATTGAAAAGAAAACAAAGGAAAAGTGATCTTGCTCTAGGCCACATAATATGATTTATTGTCGTAGCCATTTGACATCGATGTCCAGTTACGATATTCTTCTTCGACTGATTTTTTAAGTAAATGCTTTTTCTCCAAAGGATGACTATTTTGCACGAAAAATTCATTTAAAACAGATGGAAAGCAAGCTAGCGAGGTCAAGTAGAGAATGTCGGAAGAAAGAGCGAAGCTTACAATTTTTTAAAGGTACTTTAAAAAAATAAAAACTCACCAAGTCTAGTCATCTGCATAGAAAATGCCAGCGTTAGTATCAACACACCATTCATTACTCTCGCTCGATGCCACAGAACCAAGTAGTTTTTCGCTGAAATAACGAGACATTTGTCTCTGCATTTCACCTTAGCCCAGAGATCAGCCGGCACTCACAAATTCAATTGTTTGTTATGGGTTACTGTCATGAACCAAAAAGACAAGATCACGACAGCAGAAGAGTGGCCCGTTATAATCGCACTTATGAAAAAAGTAGGGCGATTTTGACATAAGCCGTTTGTTTACATTTGTTCGTTGTTTACAATTTGGTGTTGACTTTTTATTGCAATTTTCTTAATTTTCGCTTGTGACAACGTGTGCACACATAAGGTAAAGAATAATTTAACACAACGACATGATTTATAGGAGAATTTGCATAATAAAAATGATTATTCATGCGTTCAACAATTACGCGTTTTTTTTTGTTCTCTTCGTTGTTTACTTCTTACAACAAAGATGGCGTCGAGATTTCAACAGCTAGAAAATAACTTTTTTCTTTCTTTCCTTAAGGCGTGATCTTGTGTCTTTCGTTCATGGGTTACTGTTCGCCGCACAAAATATAAATACTTAATTCTTAAGCGTATAGCGCACCCGGTAGCGTGCCATAAATTTCACCATCTGATAATTTTTCTAGAGCGTATGCAACACCAAAACTGCATGGAATGTCTGCCATTTTGCGATAGCTGTGTTCCCTCCAGACGGGTGTCGCTAATTGTCACTAGTTCCTCATGTCTGTTCGCTTACTTTTTTTGGTTAATAAAAGTTTACCAGCGGAGGCTAGTGATAGTTGGTGACAGCTGTCTGTAACTGCCGTTTTCACAGGATGGAATTTATAACTTGACACATCTGTTGGAATGTGGGGGCACAATACATATCAGGGCTTATATCTTGGCATCTATTGCGATAACTTGGTAATTTGACAGCTATGTTTCCCTTTGTACTAAAACATTCTGGCGGAAACATTATCGATATTCCGATATAGTATTTGTGCCAACCGGTAACTTTTATCCATGGTGAGACGGTGGGGAAAATTTGCTACGGTGTACAAATAAATAGAATCTGGCTGTGCCAAACGAAAAGGAAAAGTGAAAAACCACACAAACGCTCGTGCAGAAGCTCTATTTTGTGTGTTGCTAAAATTTTTTAATTTACATCTATTTTATAACTTGCAAGTAGCATACGTTCTTTTTTTACATTTATCAGATTCCATTTTGATTTTCACTTCTATCACTGCCAACAATATTCTGCCTTATCCTGAGTTTCACCCGATAATTGTTCATCCGCCGTAGTAAATACACGGAAACCAAAAGTGAAAAATGAACCGGTTCGGAACTGCACAACGGGGTTATGGTAACCCCAGACAGCCTCGAACATTCTTTTGACATTCCTCCTAGCACTGCGGCAAATTCCCGGTGGAAGAATAACGGAACCAGTCCAAATTACGCAGTGCCCGTTATTCTTCCAACGGGAATAACTAATTTCCCGCAGTGCAAAGGTATAAAAACCCGATGGCAACACCATAGCGACCATTTGCACATCAGTTTCAAAGAAAAGGAAAAGGAGAGTGCAGTCGTCGCGAGCGAGTGCAACCGCGTTAGTTTGTCAAGCGTTAGATGGGAAGCAGGTGTCCTAAAAGATAAGCAACATCTAGAAGGAACGCACGCAAAAAGGAAAAGCAACCACCAAACCAACCACAGCGTGTAAGAAAATACAGAACGCCAAAGCAACAGCGACACAGGCAAAGCAAGTAGGGCCACAACCACCACTGCCCTACTGGCCTGAGAAATAGCGCGGTTGGTGCGCACCCCATAGCCACTACCAGTGCTACAGTCAGTCGCAGTCTCACTCCACACACCGTAACCACAACCGCCACAGCAGTGGGTACCACGGAGCGCGACAGTAACAACGCGCTACGTTGGCGGCTATTGCAACCGCGCCAGCAACCACGCGCGAAGACCGCAACAACCGCTACAGCAGCGGGTTCGACAATGCGCTCAGCGCAACAACCGCCACAGCAGCGGGTTCGACAACGCGCCCAGCAACAACAACCGCCACAGCAGCAGGTACCACGGAGCGCGACAGTAAGAACGCGCTACGTCGGCGGCTATTGCAACCGCGCCAGCAACCACGCGCGAAGGCAACAACCGCTACAGCAGCGGGTTCGACAACGCGCCCAGCAACAATAACCGCCTCAGCAGCGGTCACAGCGGCGGGGTGTAGCAACACCGCCATAACACCCGGCTACAGCAAGCAACCGCCGGCTACAATAACAACCAACAACACCAGCGACTACAACAACAGCAGTGCCACACACAAGCCTGCTGCAACGTTGGGCGAGTCCGCAGAAGCAATCAAAAGAAAATTTATCGAAGATTAAAACTTCCGAAAAACCAAAAAAAAGGTATACAAATTTATAAAAAGAGAATATATATATATATGTATATGTAAAAAAAAAAGAAGAAAATTGTTACTATAAAAATGCCTAAAATGCATACAACAAAGTGTGATAGAATTTGACGTTGCTCTCTTAGGAACCATACTATAAGGTCACATAAAACTGTTTGGTTATATCATTTTTGCCGCATAGTACCTTAGAAAGAGCCACGCTGAGCGTCAATTGCACCTTGGAAAAAAAACTTAAATTTAACAGAAAGCTAAAAGCAGGTTACTAGTAAGTAAGAGGAACCAAGTTTTTCTTATATAGGGTGTCCCAGAAGTAACCTGCCAAACTTTAGGGGAAGGTAGGTGCGGGGGTGAGCTCTCTGGAAAACAAAAAATTTTCAGGTAAAAGTGTCACCGTTTTTTAAATATTTACAATTTTTTTTTATTTAAAAAAATCGTGTCCTTTCATGTATTTTCTTTAACTGCATCTACAAACCAGGCTATACTTAGTAAATTTTTAATGTAAAATACTTCCAGATAGTTGATTCTCCATACTCAAATCCAATGTGGTTAAAATATATTAGGGAACCATCATAAAATTAGTACTATTTTGGGATTTTTAACTTTTTGATATTTTCTTCCCCAACTTTGACTATCTCTAGTGAAAAAAAATGTACTGAGCTATAACTTTACATTACATAAAAAATTGCTCATTTACTAAAGATTTCAGAAATCTTACTGTTTCGAATAGAAAAAAGGACTGAGACACGCTAGAATGTATTTAATAGATAAAAATTTAAGTTGCTCTTGTTACCGACCAATGACATGCTAAATAGTACAAAGGTACATTATTACCTGCTCCTGACATTATTTTATGTTACTTACTGGAATTCGGACTAGAGTCTACAACAAGAGCTATATCTATCAATATTTTTTGTGAAGGATGGGTTCACGTGAAATAAAATATACACGAGTTGTTTGAAGAAAAATTTATTAATTTCTTGATAAAATATGCTAAAATTGGCGACCTTCTACTCTAATACAAGCTCGGCACCTTTTAAGAAAAGACGCTTTTAGAGATCTTAAACTCAATTGGGCTATCTCAGCAGCAGCTCCATTTATTTGTTCCCGCAAATGCTCTTCGTTTTGCATTGTTTTTGAATAAATTTTGTACTTAAGACAGCCCCAGCGAGAAAATCTAATGGATTCGGGTCTGGCGATCGAGCGGGCCACGTGATTGGCCCGTATCGTCCAATCCATCGGCGAAGATAAGTTTCGTCTAAATGAACTCTTAATTCTCGCCCATAGTGAGCAGGGTACCTGTCATTTTGAAGCCATAGTCTTCGCCGCAGGTTTAAGGGTACATCTTGGAGTTGGAAGCCGTTTCTGAAGCAACTCTAAATAACTGTGAGAGTTGAGCGTTGCCGGTAGTTCCACAGGTCCCAATATCTGACAAATACCGCACCATAAATTTATTTTGTACCGGTACTGCGAACGATCTTCTCTCCTTTCGTGAGGATTGTCTATCTGCCAACTGTGAAGGTTATGTAAATTAAAATAACCATCACGTTTGCATGAGATTCATCGCTTCAAAATATTTTATTAAAAAACTTGGGGTCTGATTCATGCATTTGCAACATTTCACGGCAAAATCTAACCCTCGACAGGTAATCTCTTTCTTGTAGAGTCTGAACACGTTGAATGTGGTAGGTATGAAATCGGTGGTCTTTTAAAGCTTTGTGAATTGTAGCTTTTGGTATTCCCGTCCGTCTTTTCATCATTGTCACTGAAGTCGATGGACCTAGTTCCACCTCCTCTAACACAACTTCAACATCTACCCTTGCAGGACGTCCTGTTTCGCCGCCACGCCTTCCAGGTATGCGACCTTAAAAAAGTGAAAAATGATAGTTAACAAGCAAGCACACTAGAAAGGCGTAAAAATCACTTACCTTCATATATTTCTCTATGGGTCCGGGCGAATACTTCACGACCCGGATGCCGACGAGAGGGGTATCGCTCTGCATAGAGTCTTTGAGCAGCTCTGGCATTACAGCAAGCTTCACCGTAAATTAGGTGAATATCCGCATATTCATACTGCGGGTTCTTTGTCATAGTATTAATAACACAATGCTCGAAAGGTCCAATTTCATAAAATCCACTTTCACTAATTCCGGTAAGTAACATAAATTCCTGGCATGTAATAATGTACCTTTGTATTATTTAGCATGTCATTAGTCGGTAACAAGAGCAACTTAAATTTAAATCTATTAAATACATTCTAGCGTGTCTCAGTCCTTCGCCCACAAAAGCGGCTATAATTTTTTTTTCTATTCGAAATAGTAAGAGTGGCACCTTTCTGAATTCCTTATTAAATGACCAATTTTTTTATGTTATGTAAAGTCATAGGTCAGTACATTTTTTTCACCACAGATAGTCAAAGTTGGGAAAGAAAATATCAAGAAGTTAAAAATCCCAAAATAGTACTTATTTTATGATGGTTCCGTAATATATTTTAAGTAAATTGCATTTGAGTATGCAGAAGCAACTATCTGGAAGTATTTTACATAAAATTTATTAAGTATAGCCTGGTTTGTAGATGCAGTTAAAGAAAATACATGAAAAGGCACTATTTTTTTTTAATTAAAAAAAATGTAAATACTTCAAAAACGGTGACAGTTTTACCTGAAATTTTTTTGCTTATCAGAGAGCTAACCCCCCCACCTACCTTCCCCTAAAGTTTGGCAGGTTACTTCTGGGACACCCTGTATAGATTAAAAATAATTTAATTAACAATCCTAAATCATTTTATGGTTTCATAAATTCAAAGCGTAAAGTATATGGTTTTCCGTCCGCTATGCAGTATCGCAACACTGTGTCTAGCGAC